CATTGACACCACACCCAGACAAACTTTGTTACAAACTGTCACATCTCTTATCTGTTCTTCTAAGGGCCCATTCATTTTCCCTAAAAACCATTTACTTTCCCCTATAATGCCCATATCTCTCTCTCCCTTCCCCTACATAAACTGTCAAATCTCACCACTGTTTGGGGTACAACACACTGTTTTCCAATGATGCCCTCATGAACATAATATTAAAAATTAACAATTTGTATACATTTTCTTCTGTTAATCTGCCTGCTGTCAGTTTATTTCATAGACCCAGCTATAGAATCTAGGAGAGAAGAGGAAAAGTCTTTCCTTCCCCACACAGAGCAGAAACAGGAACGTGATGACATCAATGAATGTAGCCCATTGTCAGTGAGTAAAAGAAGGGACGTGTGTACATTTAATATTATGAAGTTGATTCTCCCACATTATTAAGTCGATGGGGTGTCTTATAACTATGGACTCCCACAGTGAAATATAACAGCTTCTTCTCCAGCCTGCTAAGGTGCTTAGAATTTCCACCATTAAAGCTGTAGGAAGTTCCGGTCTCAATAGGAATGTTTCCCAAGAAATATAGCACAACAACACATTGAAATCTTTTTTGGAAAATGAACATGATTTACCTTACTAGATTAGCCAGTCCCAGAAAACAGGCCCCTCAAAAAGTGAAAGCCAAAATCCTTTTTTATGGAGATGGGGGGCGGTGGTGGTGGAGGGGTAGGATGCTCCCATCCTACAAGGCAAGATTGGCAAGGAGACAAAAATTATGGGCATCCCAAACTGGACTGAGGGAGTTCAGGCACAAACGAAGAGAAAAGGCGAGTATCAAAGGCCAATTTTCACAATGGTCACACTCTTCCAAATAAAAACAAATGTATTTCAGTTCACAGCTTGCTTACTGCTGAACCCAACACTGCATATCGTTTGGTTGCTAGTAGCACTCACTTCAGATGTCATTGTTCATATTTGGTCATCTACAGCAGCCTCCACAGAAACCAAGAATTGAACATTTATTTATAATGTAAAATAAAATTATTTTGCCAAGTGTTTTAGCCAAGTATTGACAGGAAATTCAGCCAGAATTCATGGGGAAATGAATTTTCTGACAGATTTCAGCATCCCATATTTTCAGGCAAAATGGAGTCAGAGGAGCTGTTCTTGGCAGGAGACCAATTCCCTTCCTTCCACTAGAAGGTCTTTGTTCCTGTTACTAGTGACTCATTGGATTACCTCAGTTATGTCCCTTTACCACGGTGGGTCTTTGTTTCTCCAGACCCCCAGATAATACCTACAAAAGATCTGAGGTTCCTAGATAAGCAGCATTTCAGGAGAAGTTGGCACTCATATTGTAATGAAATCTATGACATCATTTATCGCAGTTCTCCTTGTAGTTAGAGCCCACGGAGAGCTTGTGTTGCTGCTCAGCACTAGCCTTTGAGAGTACAAACACCACTAGTAATCTCAAAGCCCAGCCAAGGGTTATTAAAATTTGAAGCAGGCTTCAAAGCTACCCTGCAATAACTAAACTGCCATACTTACAAAAGGCTGTTTCAAAATAAGTTTAATAGGGACCTCCCTTCGCAACAGAGCGCATGCTGGGGGCAAAAAAGGAAGAATGGTACGACAGATGCAAGATGTCCGATTTGAGTTTGACCCATGGTTGCCGTGCCCTGGAATCCTATACACTCTCAGAAATACACACAGCTGTATCTCGATTAAGAAAGACTCATGAACTACAGTTAGTGCTGAGTCGGATTCAGGTCCCCTTCCCAATTGTCATATCTGCCTCTCTGTAATCTGGCTTCTCCTGCCCCCTGCCGCCACCCCCAACCCACTCACTTGGGATGCACATCTTTCTCATTATGTGGTAAACCCATCCAAGCTGCCGACACGGTCCTACAGACGCACTCCAAGAGGTCACGTGTGCTCACTTTATGTGGCTTGTGACATGTGAACGTTGGCACCACAGTGAAAATGGCACATAATTCAGGAATTCTCCGAAACACTCCATATAATCAGAATTCAGTTTTCCTCTTATAAGGAAACAGGTTTTTTTCCTCCTATGTGTCTACTAGATGTTAATAAGCACAGCTTCCTCTTTGCAGAGTTCTGTTCATCGTGCTAAAGATTATCACGGAAATTAAAGTGCCTTGCAAGGCTTTGGGGTACTCTGTCTCTCTTTGGTTTCAATGCATTCCACCAGTCTCTCCAAATTTTATATTTCCTTTCCCATACACCCATACAGAGTCTCTCTGTTCCTTGTCCACTCTTCTCTCTAATTTACCACCGAGAAAATCCTTATTGGTTTTGCCCACATGTTAAGTTTTAGAAAGGGAAACATGTATGGCCAGAGCCTTGTCTTAGAAGACAGAAAAGGACAGTAAACACTAGGAGAGGACAGGATTGAGGATGCCTCCTCAACAAAACAGTTGCTCCAGCAGAAGAACTGTGGGAAAATGCAGAGAGAGCAAAACTGAGGGTTACAGAGCACTCCTGCATCTGACCGCTATTAACTCGTCACAAATCTGGCAGGCAAGACGGTGTAACAGCTACCTCGGGACACTCGGAAGTGGCAGAGGTGGTCATGGTCTTTCAGGCTTGTTACTCCTGCTATTGCATTCCCAGCTCATCAAACCAAGCAGCAGATGTAAACCCAGAGGGGCAATGGAAGCTACAGAAGGGGCTGGGGGGCCAGAGCCAGACAGACAGGAGACAGAGAAGACAAATTCTGTTTCCAAAGGAGCACAAGGGGAGAGTGGTCTGAGGCTGTTTGTTCACATACACCATCTTTTATCATCTCAACTAGACCAGAAAGTTTCCCGAGGATGGAACCAAGGCCTGTCTGACTCTCAAAGCCACATTCTGCCACTGCCCACCATCCATGTTTGACTAAGTGAGTGTCGTGTGTTTATAAGGCTGGGGACCAGGGTAGAAACAGGAGCCTTGAGATTCTACATCTTGGAGGATCTTTTCTGAGAGTAATAGTTAAGACTTAACAGCGTTTACCTTGCTTGGAGTAAACAGGCCCAGTTCCAATCACAGCTCTGTCACTGACTGTGTAGACTCTGGGCAAATGGCTAAAGCTTCTTACACTTCAATTTCTTCAGCTTCAGAGTGGAGCTGTTTTGAGGTTTAAATGGCAGACTGCATTTCAAACACTTAGCCTGGAGAGTGGCATATAGTAAGGACTTAATAAACATTATTATTATCACATTCACTATCCATTGTTTGAGAGTTGGCAGCTATATACATTTGTGAATGAGAAGCTTATACCAGCAGGGATAAGAAGAAATACCAGGAGGTTTGGAGTTGTCAAAAGTCCCAGCTATCGGTTTCAAATGGCCAGCACCGGCCTTGGAAACTTGGCCACTTCTGACTCTGCTCTAAGTCTCCCTTTGCCAAAAAAGTGCCACCCTCCACCCAGCCCCCATCCCAGTCTCTGCAGGTCCCTACTGGAGAGGGAAGCATATTTTTCTAATTCCAAAACTGAGGGACACGGCCTGACAAGTACAGTTAAGTCTAGAAGGGGACGATGCACAGAGTATTTCAATCTGGTTCTAGTTTAGCTATTCTGAGAAATGGGCCTAGGGGGCCTGCTAGACAGTAAAAGGGCTTTTGCCTCTCCCTCTGCAATTCATGCACCTCTACTGCCCAGGTGGCTGACACCTATTTCCACAGGACATCCTTTGGGTAAAGATAGTGGGTTACTGTACTATTTAATAAGGGGTGGGGGTGGCGGGTGGGTAAAGAGTATGATCAGCCTTTGGCACCTTGGAGTGAACCAACTGTCAGGTCATCTAAAAGAACTCCTAGGGGCACCTGGGTGGCTCAGTCGGTTAAGCGTCTGCCTTTGGCCCAGGTCAGGATCTCAGGGTCCTGGGATGGAGCCCCACATCTGGCTGTCTGCTCAGCGAGGAGCCTGCTTCTCCCTCTCCCTCTGCCTGCCTCTCTCTCTTTCTCTCTGTCAAATAAATAAATAAATAAAATAACTCCCTAATAGGGTCTTAGGGAGACATGGCAAGGATAGTAATGGACTAGATTTCTAAACTGAAATGCTACCGGAACATGGTGTCACCTGGGCACCTGGTATGCAGAAATGGAAAGGGGAAATCAATTAAGTGCAGGACAGGGTTGATAGTTGCTCTGATTCTTAACTGGGCCCCTGCCCCAGCCCCTACCCCACAGTCAGACTTCAAAACCTAAGATTGGTTTTGCCCCTGCAAACTTCAAGGCTGCGGGGCCTCAGGATGTCACCCCCACCAGCCTGGGGTCTGGGTGGCAGGAACGCAGGGGTGGGGACCGAGGGCCGTGACTGCTTTTTTTTCTCAAAATCCCCACCAGGGCCCTGAGTAGTGCGCTCCCCTAAGAGTTCATCACGTGCACAGCCCCAGCCTCTCAAACCCGACCCCAAGCCTGTGGTCCTGGACGCGCCGGTGGTTTTTAGGGTTTTCTTTCTTTATTATTTCCCTTCTTGTTCTCCACAGTTGGTGATTTTCTGCAGAAAAACGGCTGAGAAAAAAGAACCTATTTCATTTCCAGTTCCCATCACCGCGATTTCCACATGGACGTGACGTTTGGCTAGCTTCCGAAATGCCCAGGTGACTCACGCGGGGACACCCGGGGGCGGGGCTCAGGAGTTTCTCGCGCGGGGGGCGGGGCGGAGCGAAGCGGGGCGGGGCGGAGCGGGACGGGGCGGGGCGCCGCTCGCCTCCTGCGCCTCCCGCGCCTCCCGCGCCTCCCGCGCCCTCCTGCGCCCCCTGGCGGCCGGCGGTCCCCGGCTCTCGGCGCCGGGCCTGGCGTCACGTGACTGGAAAGTCCCTGGGTGGAAATCCCCGCTCTCCGCCGGCGGTAAAACAGAAAGGGAAAAAGAGAACTGGCAGTCTGCAGTCTTCGCAGCGGGCCAAGTGCAGCGAGCTCGGAGCCCGTGGGGGCGGAGCGGTGACAGCAGCCGCCGGGACAAGTGCGGCGGCGGCGGCGGGCGGCAGCGGGCGCGATCCACACCCCCGGCCGACCCGGCCAGCGAGCGAGCGCCGAGCCCCGGCGTCCATGGGGCGCCTCCTCCGTGCGGCCCCGACCCCCGCCTGCGGCGCGCGCCTGCCCTGACCTGGACTTAGGACTTCGGAAGAGGATTGCGCGGCCGGGACAGGTAACCGCGGCGTCCCCTTGCCGTCTGCCACCAGCTCCCGCGGTGGAGCTGCGGATGCGTAATTGGCGGCGACTCGCGGGCTGGCCCCGTCTACCTGGTCTGGGTTTGGCAGCGGTCGTGGAGGGGAGTTTGTTGGCCGTCGGTGCCCACTGTAGGTTTGAAATGCTAGGAGTCGAGGTCGCCGCGCCAGATGTTGGGGTGACAGCTCTGGAATCCTCCAGCCAGCTGTTCCTTTTAAATCCTGCCAAGAACTTAAGCTGCAGCAGACTGCTGGCGAGGAGCCTCCGGACTCCTAGGTCGGGTGGTCCTTGGGGTTTCGCTCCTTTTCGTGCCTTTTGTATTTTTAAATCGAGCTCTGGATGCTGTTGGACACGTAGACCTTGCAGAACCACTGTGGCTTCTTACAAGATTGTGCAGCAGCAGTCCATCGCCGGTGGCATGTCGCGGAGAGCACAAAACCCGGCGCGGGTGGGGGACTCCGCCAGCCAGCCTGTCCAGGGACAGCTTGCAGACGCTTGGAGTGAAGTGCAGGGAGGTGGGTGGGGTCGAGGGACAGTGCTGATCTTCAGTCGCTGCAGTGGAAGAGAAGTGTGCATGTTAAAGTGGGTCGTCGGCCTGCTTTTCGGGTGCTCCTGTTTACAGTGATCTGCGGGCCCCTGCCCCAGCCCCTATCCCACAGCCAGACGGTCTTTGTCAGCCCCCGGGGCGTCCCACATCCTGCCACCTGGCCTCTCAGGAAAGCAGTGGTATTAAGTAAGGAAGGAGCTCAGCTCTTTTGAGACTGCTTTGTTTTCAGTTCTCCCTGCGTCTGATCTTCTTTCCTTGGAAAGCTGGTCTCTGGTCAAGAGTCTCAGAGCAGCATGTGGGGAGCACCATTGTTCATTCACCAGTCCTCTGGACTGTACGTAGCCTGAGTGTCCCCAATTATTGAGCAGCCGGTCACTGCTCCATTCTCATTGTCTAAGGTGCTTCTTTGATTTTTGCGATTCCTTGTACAATTTGCGAAGTTTCGGAGGGATACCTTCCAAAAATGTGATGAGGCATTTGTTGATAAAAAGTCAGTGAGGTAAAAAATGTAAAGGAAATGTTAAGGGTGATAGCATATGTCTGTACCTGTAAGGACGTTACAGTCATAGGTCAGGAACATTTATTCTTTAATCTTAACGAAAAGTGGGAATTTGGAGGGTGGGTTTTGATTCTTTTAAGGAGGCGGTTCTGCAATCTGTGCAAGGCTAAACCTATGAAGGAGATGACCCTGGGCTATCTGGTGCTGACATTTGTATGTCTTGCCTAGGGCTTACAACTCTCACCATTTGAGGTCTTGGCTGAAAGATCTTTAAGTGAGAAGAGAATAATAGAAGACTCAGAAAAACAAAAAGGCAACACCTCGCTTGTTTCAAATCTTTTCACTTCCCGCCTCTTCCCGTCCGAGAGCAGCAAGCCCAGCAGCTGCAGGGGTGGTGTTGTGGGAATAGCGAGGGGCAGGTGCTGGGAGATCTGGCGTCTGGGCAAAGCCCTCTGCCCTGGATGGCGTGGAACCTGAGCAGGAACCTGTTGCCTTGGTTGCAGACGGGGAATAAGGTCATCTTGGATTTTTATACCCAGCGTCAAGCATGGCCCTCAACCTTCAGTAGGTGGTCAGGTCGTGCTTTTTGAGTGATGGACAGATGAATGGGTGACATTGCGAGATGCTGGCCATGCCACAAAGTGGAAATGGGTGTATTGTTTTTATCCCCTCATTGTGCTTGCGGTCCTGCTGTAATTTTGCCCACTTCCACCTTCAGGGAATGTCTGATGGCAGAGGAAAAATTACCAACTGACCCAGAGAATTACTTCCCCCAAGCCTCACTGGCAAGCAGATTAGGAGTCCTGATCCAAAACTATCACCAGAAAGCGACCTTGGGGTCATCTAGTCCAACTTCTCTACTTTGAGTGCATTGCAAGAATTTAAACCACTTCATCAATGGCTTTAAGAGAGCCTAGACCCACCTAGCAGTGGCTTCCCTAAAAATCTAGGTTTCTTCTCACTCTTGCATAGGTTTAAGGTCTTCCTCAACTAAAAGCTTGCCCTGGCGAATAGTGTGATACAGGAGTGAGATTAACAATCGCCATGAAACTTCCTAGGGAATATCTTCATGCTCTGAAGCCATCTTTGTCTTCATCTTGGAAACCAAGATGTATGGTGAGGCACCCTGCTAAGGCTTGTGAACGACAGCTGGCTTTCCACACATCTCCACGCTGCAAGGATCCCGGTTGCGTCAATTCACAACATCCAGGCTGTTGGCATGGGTTGTAGATGCTGTGTTTTGCCCCCTGCTTCCTTCATTTGTCCTGAGTGTCCCCCTGGCCATCTTTCCTTGCCTGCTTCCAGACTTTTATTTCCTTCCACCAGTGGATTATGCTTGAAGATCTCAGGGTGAAGACAGGGTGGGAAATGCATCTGAGTGTCGGTACCTGGAGGATGATAATAAATGTGGTTGGCAGTTGAGTTGGAATAATGGAACTCTGATGCCTGCACTTGGAAGCGTAAAATTTATTCTTCTGTTATTGTTATAATTCTGTTTCTCATTCTGATGTTGTGAAGTTCAATGGAGAGGTTCCGAAAGACTTATTGTTTTCCTCTTAAAATTGCAAAGCATCTTACTGGAAATAGGCTTTTTTATTGGTTATAACATATTCAGTTTTAACCTTTATAAGTATTATAATACATTTTATAAAGGAGCTCTTTATAAATATTTCTCTTTGGGGCTAAAGAGGAAACTCTAAAGCAGCAGCCTAGGTGACAACATAAAATCGCCAGATTTTTCATAAAACATTTACTTTGCAGTATAGGAAGTGAGGGAGGGCTTAGAAGAGAAATCAAGGCTTTGCCTGAGAGCCAGGGTTGCTGAGCAGTGGTCTTAGGGGAGGAGCCTACAGACTTGCCAGGGCTGCCTTGTGGCCGTCACTGGCATTCAGAGCTCCTAAGACCCAGTGGCTGTGTCAGGGGGGCATGAGAATGAGATGGGAGCTTGTTGGTTATGAGATGCAGTACCTGGTGCTGACAGATAGGCTTGGCTCCCTGACAAACGTTACTGAAAACACGGGTTATTCCCCTCCTCCTCAGTACCTACCCCCGCCCCCCGCCTTCCTTCTCTTGTTTAGACTAATCTTTAAAAGTGATGTAACTTACAACAGTCCAGTGTGAGTTAATCTTGGGGGCCAGCTCGTATCCTGGGAGTGGAGGTGACTAAGATCTTTTGCCTACAGATTAGGGTAATGACAAGATCAAACACTGGGGTTTCCTGCAGGCAGGTATATAGGAGTGGTATCAAAGCCGGGCTAACGGAATGGGTTTTTCTCCCCTCCTCTTCAGGTGTTGCAGAGCACAATGGCTGAACAACTCCTTCCCCAGGCTTTGTATTTGAGCAACATGCGGAAAGCTGTGAAGATACGAGAGAGAACTCCAGAAGATATATTTAAGCCTACCAATGGGATCATTCACCATTTTAAATCCATGCACCGATACACACTAGAAATGTTCAGAACTTGCCAGTTTTGCCCACAATTTCGGGAGATCATCCACAAAGCTCTCATTGACAGAAATATCCAGGCCTCCCTCGAAAGCCAGAAGAAGCTCAACTGGTGTCGAGAAGTCAGGAAGTTGGTGGCGCTGAAAACGAATGGTAAGAAGCTTTTGTCTAAGGCTTGGCCCCCACGGTGCTGGGTCCCCATTCATTAAATAGTAATAGCGCTGGCCCAGACTCAGGTCTCTTGAGAGCATAGACCCCTTAGTATAGAATACTCTATAGAAGGCATGTGATAAAAGCAAGCTTGTTTTGCCAGTATTTTTATGAAGGATATTTTGCAATTGTGCGTATTAGAGAGCGGAGCCACTGAGGCTTGAGGAATGCATTTCTAAACACCGTGCCTCCCACTGGAGGACTTATGTATCTAATTTTTGTGGCTGTTTGTGTAATCATTTGTAAGATACCCTTTCCTGGCCAGTAATGGAAACATTAAAAAGGCTTTTAAGTTCAAAAGGAAAGCGTGGTGTGAAAACTAGTTATTACTATTGTTTCCCACTATCATTAGAAAATGCTCCTAATGATGACCTTACACATCTTGAATTGATGGCATTTTAGGGCTTAGCCAGTGAATGGCTGTTGTCTGCCTTCCCCTTACCTAGGTTCTGTTGGTTTGGGTCCCGTGACATGAAGTAGAAAGATACTTGAGATTTTTAGCACAGACTTTAGACCTTTACTTCATTATTTTTAGGAATCCCTGGTTCTCAATTTCTTGCTATCTCTGTGTATCTGCCCAATGGCCCTTTACCACTAGTAGCTATTTCCTGTTCTAAACTTTACTGTTGTGTGTTTTTGATTATTTCCTTTGAGCAAGAGTGTGTGTATCATGGCCACATCCAAGCACACTGTTTCATGCAGATACAAAATCCTACATTCTAATGTTGCTAATTATTACAAGAAGCAAGTAGACTGTCCATGATCAATTAAATGCTTATAGTCGAGATGAGGGCATGAATCAGGTTCTTACATAAGTAACAGTTCTTCTTTAAGACCACCTCGATCAAAATAATACATCCAAGCACAGAAATCCTTGTTGACAATGAGAGGATAAGAGTATTAATTAACTTAGTTGGTACATTAACTTTGGCCATTTTTGAGTTGGGTAGTGTGGAGTGATTGGAGATGCGGATTTTGCGGTGTTCCCCGGGGGTGGGGGGTGTCTTGTGCATTACTTCAACATCTTGCCTCTACTTTTGAAGCACAGATTCTTAGAAACAAAGGTAGAATGAAAACTGGGGAGAGCTAGTGTTTACATTTTTCTTGGCCTTAAATCAAGTGATGCATAGAAGTGGGTAATTATGTTAAGTCATCATCAAGAGGTTTATATTCCTGACAGTTGTGGTTTTAACTGTCTCCCATTTTATTACAAAAAAGAAACGGAGTGAACTCTGGGAGAGTTGGAAACAGAGAGATTCTGCCAAACTAGAGATGTGGTAGGAAGAGGAAAACCTTCTTATCATTAACAGAATTAAGTGACATTTTAGGTTGAACTACTCCTTTAAGAAAACAATGGCTATAAATAGTAAACACTTGTTTTGCAAAGATATGTCATTAATGGTGGTTAACATAACAATAAAAAATTATTTAAAAAAAAGATATGTCATTAAAGTCAACAAGGATTCATGCTACAAATAAAGCTACAAAAGCAAGTGCGTCTTGATAACATTTTCTGGGATATAGAAATGTGGGGGCTCAGATCCTCTTTATGTCCCCCCTTTCAAGAACATTCCTTAAAATCCTGGAAAAGGAAAAAAAAAGATATTTAGGGGAGGGGGGATAGAAAAGGGACTTTTACTCTCTGGCCTTTATTAAGCACTTTTTTTTTTTTTTTTTTAAACCCTTCTCCTCTAGGAGGGTTCTACAAAGTCAGTGGTCTGTTTGGGGAGGGGGTGATTCACAAGTTTGCATTTGAGGATATGAGACTGCGGTGAATGAGGAAGGGAGTAGGTGGCATAAAATTGAAACTTGATGTGAAAAATTCCAGCGTCTATTGGCTGCCACGATTTCACTTGTATAATGAGTAGCCCTATTCCAGCTCACCCTGACCACACCCACTTGGAAAGTCCAGGGCGCCCTTAGCAGTTTAAATGTCTACACACCAGAACAAAAAGTACAATAGCTGTTGCTCAATTGCTAGTCAAATAACTTAGCGCTGGGGAATTCCAGATGTTGCTTAGGGAATTTTGTACGGGTGCATCTCAATAAAGAACTGAAAGTAAGCACCAGAAGAAGAAAAAAAAGCCTTATCTTTGCTCTAGATTTTGCAAAGGGGAAATTTCAACAGAATGCAATCGTTGCCACACTTCTGCCAAGACAAAAGGCTGAGCGATCTTTTTTTTTGTTCATTCTTGTGAATACTTACTTGGCTCATCTTTCCGTATGTATGAATTGCAGGGATGTGAGCTGTGGATATAAATGCTTGAGGGGTTTTCTTTGTTGTTTTGTTTTTGTTTTTGTTTTTGTTTTTTACAGTTTGACTCTAAAGAGTTGATAAGAAATTTCAAAAAATGTTGATAAACCCTACGTGTAGAGTAATGTAAGAAAACAGTTGAACTCTTCTTTATAAAAACAGTGGTGCACTTGGCCACAAGATACTAAGGAGTTGACTTTTTTGGTATTAAACATTCCCCCCAAATGTTTATTGTTTGGGGGTTGGAAAAAAGGCAGTCTCTTGAATTGTGGGTTTTAACCTGTGAAAGTAACAAATTAATGGACTAAAATTAGACCTGTTTCTCGCAATGCTCAAAGGCAGGCTGAGGAGGTAATGTGGTGTTCTTGATCCCACTTCATAAACCAGGAGAGGAAACTCCCAGGCCCCAGAGGCCTCAGTGGAATGGTCAAGTCATTTACCACTGAGTCATAGCCAGAGACGGTCCCTGTCTAGTAAACGGAGCCAAGCCAGCTTCCTGGCTTATGCATATTACCCTGTGTGTTCCCTCTAGAGCCACAGAGTGATAGTGCCAGTGTCTTGGCCAAAACATCAAGGAATGCTAGAACGGAATGGACTTTAGAGATCCAATACCCTCATTTCACAAAGAGAAAAAAAAAAAAAAAAAAAAACTCAGAAGTGGAGGAATTTCCCCCAAGGTCACACCTAAACCAGTTAGGGCAAGCCAGGCTAGAACCAAGGTCCCCTGATAATCAGTCCCTGGCCCCTTTGCTCTGTTGTTGTCAGTCATTAAAAATAAGAGTGAAAAGAGTGTTTTCTTTTTTCCTTAAAGCTGTCATCACCTTGTGAAATGTTCTCAGTTGGCTGTTGGACTAAGAAAGTAAACCATTTGTATCTCTCACATGCCCCTTTGGGTCCCCTGTACTAGGCAGCAGGGCTAGTGCATTCTAAAAAACCTTTGCGAGGCCTTTGATGTGTGTGGCTTCTGTCCTCAGGTGATGGAAACTGCCTCATGCATGCTGCTTCTCAGTATATGTGGGGTGTTCAGGACACAGACCTGGTCCTGAGGAAGGCACTCTTCAGCACTCTCAAGGAGACGGATACACGCAACTTTAAATTCCGCTGGCAGCTGGAGTCTCTTAAGTCTCAGGAATTTGTGGAAACGGGGCTTTGCTATGACACTCGGGTATGTTTTGTTCCCCATTGAGTGCCTGTCGCTAGAGCCCCGTGGTGGGGAAAGGGTCTCTCCGGCCAGCCCCTGCTCTCAAGGAGCACATGATTTACTAGGTCACATGAATTTGGCTAAGCAAAGCATAGTCCATGGAAAACACCAGAAACCTCCCTGTGGGATGAACCTGAGGCTTTTGTCACCGCTGCGAGGTTTCCAGGCAGCAGATTTCCAGCTGTGGATCTCTTCCTTTCAGCAGAAGGGCTTCTGCTCATGGCCTTTCCTGTGATGTTTTGGTTGTTTTCCAATGTGATTGCCCTTTGCATGCTTTACTGAGCCTGCCAATCAAACTCAGACATGGGGCTCACCATTCTCAGTCACAGGCTTGGAATTGTTATGCACATTTGGATAAGGGGCTTTGGTGTTATGCCTCATGAGGGATTTTTTTGAAAGCAGGTGCTGTCCCCATCTTTCCCCGCTTTTAAGTTGGCCTTATCGTTGGGAAAAAAGTAAAGGAAGAAAACCAAAATGGGGAAAAAAGGGTGATCATTTGAATGATGATTTCCAGAAAGGGGAAAAGTAAGCAGAGTTATATAAATGAATAATTGTAGAGCGAAGTCAGACTGAGTTTTTAATGCATAGTACATTCAATCATGATTTTCCCTTTACCCACTTCCCTTAGAATTGGACCGATGAATGGGACAGCCTTGTCAAAATGGCATCCACAGACACACCCGTGGCCCGAGGTGGACTTCAGTATAACTCCCTGGAAGAAATACACATATTTGTCCTTTGCAACATCCTCAGAAGGCCAATCATTGTCATTTCAGGTGAGATGCCTGCAGATTGCTTATTTGTATTTGAGTGCTGGTCGGCTTTCATGCTTTTAGCTCTTAGGGAAAAAGCGAGGCTACCTGAGTCACGGACAATAGTAGCTGAAGGGAATTTGATGAAAATCACCTGAGGGCCTTATTGCTCTTATTCTTTCCCTGAACAGACAAAATGCTGAGAAGTTTGGAATCGGGTTCCAATTTTGCTCCCTTGAAGGTGGGAGGGATTTACCTGCCTCTCCACTGGCCAGCTCAGGAGTGCTACCGATACCCCATCATTCTCGGCTACGACAGCCAGCACTTTGTACCCCTGGTGACCCTAAAGGACAGCGGACCTGGTGAGAACACTGCGCATGGATTCGCATTTGTAACTGCTGGTAGATACTGGGACGCCCTGTTCCCACTGAACATCGGGCTTTTCTGGCAATAGCCTCGTTTATGTTTATTAATTATTTTTATGTGACTACAGTGTTCTGTCACGTGCTTGATTAGCAGCAGTAATGCAGTGGCAGTAATCCCTGTACCCACTGTCTTTGGGTATGGCTTGGAAAGCACTTTCCACAGCTTAGTTGCAAGTAGGAGATCTAGGCATACATGTGACTACCACCCTTTGCTGTATGACAGAGTAAGGCATGCAGAGCCCTGGCATGGAGCAGGGAAAAATGTCTGTCAGGTTAGCTATTATTATGATAGCTTCTAGTGGAAGAGGCAGGGTGCAAAGTGCTTTCGGGACATTATTGCATTTCATTTCATCCTCACGGCATCCCTATGGACTGTAAGCACTGGGTGTCTTAATTTTACAGATGAGACCCTTGAAGCTCAGAGAAGTAGGTTCAGTAACTTGCCCGATGTCACAGAGCTTGATAGTGACAAAGTCAGAATTCAGACTCATACCAGTCTGGTTCTGAAGTGTGGCGATTTACCCAGCAAGATCCACTGCCTCCAGGCTGCCTAATATTCTCTGAGCTTCCAGAACAAAGCATTTTATGTTAGAGTTTAGTTTAGTTTGTTTTCCCGTCTGAGTTTGATAGCGGCTAGGTGATACTTTTCCACCCTTTCATTGTATTCTTTCTGTGTTTTCGAAATGTGATCATTATATATGCGGCCTCACACATAATCTCACTTAGTAGGATCATGTGTTGCTTATGTGTTCTTTCTTTCCCTCAGAAATCCGAGCTGTTCCACTAGTTAACAGAGAGCGAGGAAGATTTGAAGACTTAAAAGTTCACTTTTTGACGGATCCTGAAAACGAGATGAAGGAAAAGCTCTTGAAAGAGTACTTGATGGTGATTGAAATCCCTGTCCAAGGCTGGGACCATGGCACCACCCATTTGATCAATGCCGCAAAGTAAGAGTTTATCCTTAGCGCCGTCCTTTGTCATCTTCAACTGCTTTTACTTCCGCCACATAAGCTGATGCCACCCCAGAGCTCAACCGTAAAGTTATTTGAAGCTAGTTTCCTCCAGTGTGAGTCAGACAGAACGGATGACCGGAGGCCGTACTAACTTGGGTTTCACATGGGAACAAGTAATTTCTCCATGGTGACTTTCCTGCGTATCTGGATGCTGACAGTCAGAATTGTGGCTTTTAAGTATATTAAACCAAGAATAGTTTTGTTGTATTTTGTTTAATTGCCCTAGTACTAGGCTAGCAAGTGAAAATTCTTGGAAACAAAAACCTTTTTCTCTTGGCTTCTTGGAAAGGACAGACGCATCAGACACAATCGGGGTTGTAGAATGTGTTTATGTGGCAGCCGTATGATTTTTGCCACATGGAAAGTGGAGGAGAGAGCCAGAGTGCGCGTTGTGCAGCTATCCAGATCTTAAACACTGGCTTTATGTTGGAGAGATGCCTGTTCGTAAGGACTTTGAAATACACCGGAGGGGACCACGGAGGCATAGGAGGATCAGTTTCTCAAAGTGGAGGTGGACACGTGACAGAGGCTCAGAAGTCAGTGGACAGCGCCTGTGGGTGTGTCTGCTGCTTAGTCACTGCGCGGGGCAGTCCATGCTGATAGGAACCAGGCGCGGGTTTAAGATTAGTAACAGCAAGATATAGGCAACAAGGTCCCAAAGTAGTTTGAACTACAACGTAGACGAGTCCCAAATGAACAGCCTACATAATGTTTTACTAGAAGTTTGATCTCAGAGAAGTTGAAAAGTAAAAGTGACTTTTTAAAAGAGGAATAGAGTAATCCAAGTGTAGAGGCATCCCCAGAATAGCCCTCTCTTTAGAATTACCAGTAATTGGGGTGGACCAAGGTTGATTAAATAAGACTGTGATTTTTGAAGTAGTGAAATCTTCTTAGCAGTATTGGACTGTGCTGTATTGGAGGTGCAGACTCTTTATCATAGGCCTGCATTTCAATGAGTGGTTATCAAGTTATTGCCATAATCCACATTCTAAAAGTTTGCCCTGTGAGCTAATGATGTGAAATCATGTGTGTGTCTGTGTGTGTCTGTGTTTGTGTGTGTGTCCGTGTTTGTGTGTGGTCTCATATTTTTCCTTTTCATCTTTAGGCTAGATGAAGCCAACTTACCCAAAGAAATAAATCTGGTAGATGATTACTTTGAACTTGTCCAGCACGAGTACAAGAAATGGCAGGAGAACAATGAGCAGGAGCGGAGAGAGATGCATGCTCAGAATCCTTTGGAACCTTCCATTCCACAGCTTTCTCTCATGGACATAAAATGTGAAACCCCCAACTGCCCTTTCTTCATGTCGGTGAACACGCAGCCGCTGTGCCACGAGTGCTCAGAGAGGCGGCAAAAGACCCAAAGCAAATCCTCAAAGCTGCACTCCAAGCCAGGCCCTGAGGTGCTCCCTGGCATGGCCCTCGGGGCTTCCCGGGGCGAGGCCTATGAGCCCGTGGGCTGGAGCCCCGAGGAGCCGGCTGGGGGGCCTCGTTCGGCCCCTCCGACGGCACCCAGTCTCTTCCTGTTCAGCGAGACCACTGCTATGAAGTGCAGGAGCCCCGGCTGCCCTTTCACACTGAATGTGCAGCACAACGGATTTTGTGAGCGCTGCCACAACGCCCGGCAGCTGAACGCGGGCCACCCCTCGGACGGCACGAGGCACTTGGACCCCGGTAAGTGCCGAGCCTGCCTGCAGGACGTCACCAGGACGTTTAATGGAATCTGCAGTACTTGCTTCAAAAGGACTACGGCAGAGCCCTCCTCGGGCCTCAACTCCAGCATCCCTCCTTCCTGTCACCAGAGGTCCAAGTCAGACCCCTCGCAGCTCATCCAGAGTCTCTCCCCACATTCTTGCCACAGAGCCGGGACCGAGGCTCCCTCTGGCTGCCTCTCTCAGGCCACGCGGACTCCGGGGGACGGGACGGGGACGAGCAAGTGCAGAAAAGCCGGCTGCATGTATTTTGGGACTCCAGAAAACAAAGGCTTCTGCACGCTGTGTTTCATCGAGTACAGAGAAAACAAACGTGAGTGAAACGATGGATTACCTAACCCCCGTTTCTAAACCCCTGGGCTAGGGGCAGTTTTGCTTCTGCGCTGCAAGAAAGCAGCCCCTCTGGGCCGTGGGGGAGAGTGCGGCTGACCCAGAGGGACGGTCACACGGAGACCAAAGACACGGAAAACCACCTTCCAAAGCCCTGCAGCCCCTCGTAGATAGAGTTTGTAGGCCATTCAGCACCCGGCATTTGTGAGGCGGAGTTTAAACAAGACTTCTTTGGACACGTAGGTGTAAATAGAGAAAAGTCCAAAGGGGAAGAAGGGCAGTAGCTGGAGAGAGGGAAGTTTCCGCTGACACTGTGAGAAAACACGGGTGGTTTTAGAAACCTCTCGCTTGAAAGAGGGACGTACGGACAGGCCGTTGATGTCTCTGCTTGTTCTGTTACTATATCTGGCCGGTGCAGCATGTTCAAAAGAGAGACCTTTGTCAAGTCAAAGATGTGTCGATAATGGCGTTATTCTCATTTTTTTCTTTGGCTGAATTTAGAAAAGGCCGTGCTCACGGATGCACGGCCCAGGCTGCCCTAACCGGTATCCAGAACCTGTCTGTCTAACAGCGGTGTCTCGCTCTCCGCTTGGACACCACCCGTGGCACTGATGAGCTCCACCTCTCTTTTAGATTTTGTCAGTGCCTCCGCGAAAGCCAGTCCCACAGCCCCCAGGTTCCAGAATGCTGTCCCCTGCCTGGGCAGGGAATGTGGCACCCTGGGAAGCACCGTGTTTGAAGGATACTGTCAGAAGTGTTTCATCGAAGCTCAGAGTCAGAGATTTCACGAAGCAAAAAGGACCGAAGAGCAACTGGTGAGACATCTTGAGGTACTTCCCCTCCCCGTTGGGCCAGCCCTCCTTCCTGGAGCCGCTGTTTCTGACAGACTTTCCTCCCTGCCAAGTTCAGGGGAGGACTCTGAGGGGGCTGGTGGGGGGAGAAGTCACTGTGGCCCCCCGGGGCTGGAAGTGCAGTAGCTACTCTTGCTTTTCATGGCCTGAGTGTGCTTTAGAATTCATTTAAAAAGTAAATCAAGTCAGCCATAGAGTAAAACCTCTTCAAGTCTGCAAAAAGCCAGATGCCGAACAGAGACGCGGCGATTGGTGGTAGCAGCACAGGCGGTTGGGCGAGCTGCAGACTTCGGGAAGTACTCCTTTATCAGGAGACAGACAGGGGGAGGACGGGTGCATCCACACAGCCGCGTAGAAGAAAAGCAAACTGGCTGATGGATGCCTCTCTTGTTGTTTACAGAAGGGTGGGGACTCTATCTGGAGAAGGGCAGCTTATTACTTACTAATGCAAGCGGAGGCGAGCAGGGCCAGCAGTCGCAGGCCTCCGGGTCAGGCCCCGCTGGGTGGTTGCGCTGGGCCTCCGTGGGGCCGGGCCTGCTGTCGTGGGACTGGGAGCAGGCGTGCTTGGCGAGCTCCTGGGCACAGACAGCACGGGGAGCTCTGGTTCCCTGGGTCAGGCGGCTGCTCTCCACCCCCACACCGTTCTTGGTAGCATGCGCGCCATCAGACGAGATTGCCTGGTGCTCTCCTTGACCAACGGGGCCAACAGTTGTCTCTGCTCTTTCCATTCAGAGGTCGAGCCAGCGCAGAGACGCGCCTCGAAGCACGGCGAGCGCCTCCAGGCCCAAGTGTGCCCGGGCCTCCTGCAAGAACATTCTAGCCTGCCGCAGCGAGGAGCTCTGCATGGAGTGCCAGCACCTCGGGCAGCGAGTGGGCGCGGGGGCCCACCGGGGCGAGCCAGCTCCCGAGGAGCCCCCCAAACAGCGCTGCCGGGCCCCCGCCTGCGATCACTTCGGCAACGCCAAGTGTAGCGGCTACTGCAACGAGTGCTTCCAGTTCAAGCAGCTGTACGGCTGACGGATGCGGCGGGCCGCCTCGGCCCTAGGGGCCCTCGAGCCTTAGCCGGCGTGGTGCTAGCCCCGAAATACTGCGATGCCGCAGCGGGGAGCTGCGGGCAGCTTGCAGCCGCGGAGTGAAGAGGAGCTCGCGGTCGCCACCAGCCTGCCCAGGTGGCCTTCGAGCGAGAGCGAGGCCAGTGACTGGCCGTGGATGGCGTCCGGTCCGGCCGGGGGCTCCTCCTCCTCGCCTCCCACGGAAGGCCAGGAACTTCATGGACTTGGAATGTGTGCCGGGACTGCTTCATCATCTCGGGAGAAAAGGGAGAAGACCCGCTGGGTCAGGCGGGCTGGGAACCCTGGAGCCGTACCCCCGCCCAGCCCCACGCCGCCGGGCTCCGAGCCGTGGAGCTGACCCGCCGCTCCCGCAGGCCGTGGGCCGCAAGTTCAGGAAGCTCAGGGAGAATGGACGGACGGACGGACGTATTCAGAGTGTCAGGGGTGAATGGTCTTTCCCTCCCCGCCTCGTCCCTTTCCCGTGGACACGGCACCCACGGAGCCATCCACAGACTGTGGTTCTGAGGCTGCTGAGACCGAATCAGTTCACACTGAAAAGCAAACCAGCTGCTCTTTACAGTATGCACCTTGGAAAAAATCAGAATATTCTAGTAGGAATATGTGTGACCCTTTTGGGTATCACTGTCTTCACTTCTAAAGAAGTTAGCCTGAACTGAGGTGTGCATAAAAGTGTGTACATATATAATGTACCCTTATATTATGTATGAGGGATTTTTTTTATGTTGAAATGCTGCCCTAGAGATTTAAGTAGGAAGACTGAATAATAACCTATTTTCTGGTTGTTGTTGGGGCGCCATCTGTATATAGCTTGCATGAATTCAACCAGCTGCCTTGTTAAAGTGAGCTCTCTATTGTGTCTATGTAATTCACTTTATTTATTTTATTTCAAACTTCAAGGGTATTTAAATGAAGACTTCTGCTCTGGGTAAAGCGCTTGCTGTAGTGTCTTCTTGAAATAATATATTCATATTGAGTCCTCTTTCAGGCGAGTTCCTGAGTACCTTGGGGATTTGGTCTCTTTGATGTACTGTGGTTGTCTTCCCTAAGAAAGAAGGAATTGCATCAAAGTTATATTCGTTAAAACCTCAGGCTTCTTAATGAAACTTGGGTCAGAGCCTCTTGCTAGCCAGACGGGAAAAAAAAAAAAAAACCCTCCGCAGTAGACAGACGCCTCGAATATCCTACCTCCTTAGAGATGAGATTGGGACGGAATGGGGATGAGATTGGAGAAGGTCACCGGAACGATGTGACCTTTAATGACAGTTTTATTTGCTGTGTTAACGCTGTGTCCTGGCAGTGACCTCACAACCAGTGGCAGCTTAGCGCTGGGACAGCAAAACCCTGTGACCATGAGCATAAGGAAATTTCTCTCTGTCCTCGGCCTGCAGTTTCTCCGTTTGCTTTGTGTTGCTGTCATACCTGTTCTAGAAAAAAAGGGGGAAACACATTGTCCCCAGAGGTAAAGGCTGCCATTTTTTTTTTTTTTTTTTTTGGGTCTGGAACTTATGACCTGAAAATATTAGCAATCTATAACTCTACACAGCCTTTACCTGTGTTACCTGACATGTTTGTCACCTCGAGTGCCCTAAGTCTATTTCCTGGACATAAATCTTAATTTTTTTCTAAAGATCTCGAATAAATTTCAGTGTTCAGTAATTCTAAAGTCAACATTTTAATATTTTGTGTGTACCAATATTTTCATTCTTAATGTGAAAAAATGGAATTATTTATACTTATTATAGAAAGCATTTGAAATTTGCACATTTAGTTGTCCCTAATAGAGAGCTGTTTACTCTGTTGGATTCTCTCAAGTTTTCCTAAGTATGTGTAACTTTTCACAAAAGTCAATATTAAAAAATAAATTATTTAAGAACAGATTTTGACGTCTTCTGTTTACAAATGGTGAGAGAAAGAGACCCAAATACTAAGGCCATGTCTCCCAAACAGCTTCATTTCGAGATACACCTGGACAGTGGACACGTGCCCCACCCCCGTGTAGTAAGAAAACTTTGCGAACGTTATAACCACATGAGGGTAGGGCATCGTTCAACCGCGGGGACACAGAGGCCCACACAGGAGTGGGAAGGGTCCACCTGTCCCGTTCCCAGGAGACATTAGGTCCCTGTGCCCCTCCAAAGGTTCCTGCCCTTGGCCATCATGCAGTGCAGAAGAGGAAAGCAGGAGAGAGGAGCAGAGAGAGGCCTGGAAAGACAGAAATAGGAGGGAGGAGGGAAGCCTGGTGTAAGATTTCCTGGGTCGGACCTTAGAAGAGGTGACGGATGGCCGTGGTGGCTGCGAGGACTGGCAGCACCAAAGTCCTGGGAAATTGTAAAATGACATATTCTTCTACCCAATGCAAACACACCCGCAGAAGATTGATTCAGGAGGACTGCACCTCCCGGAATCTACTGTTTTTAAATCTCCCCAGGAGATTCTGATTATTATTAGATTATTATTAGAACCATGCTTCGGTGCGGTTCACTAAATCATTCGTGATCCTCTATTAAGTTACTGTGAGAAATGTTCACACAAGAAAGTAGAGTATAATGAACCCCCATGTATCCATTATCTGGTTTGGACAACCATCAGCATTTTGCCAAATTTGTTTCATCTTTCAACCCCTCTTTTTTTTTCTTTTCCTGGATGATTTCAAAGCAAATCCCAGCTACGTGTGTCCTCACACCCACAAATACGTGTGTGTGCATCTCTAACTGATCACTGTTCTTTTTTTCACAACCACCATTTTTTACACCTAGCTAAATGATTCGTAGTGTCATCCAATACTTAAGTATGTACTCGAACTTCTCGGGTTGTCCACTATACAGACATAGTCCTATTACTTTGGGTTGCTGGCAATAAAAGAGCTTAGGCTCTTTTATTCTGTAACATTCTCTTTTCATTTTTCATCCTATTAATTTGTTGGGACAGTTGGGTCATTTGTTCTGTAGAAGGGCCCACATTCTGGATTTGGCTGACTGCTTTCTTATGGTGCCATTTAGCTTGTTCTTCTGTAATGTACTTTGGATTCAATTCTGGTTCAATGAGACAAGAGTCATGCCCAGGTGGTGCCGTGTGTCCCATCGAGTCCCAACCTGTGGGAGCTACATGAATGCCAACCCAGAGGCATCATAAAGCCTCAAATTCACCGCTTCCCCTTTTGTCCATTCTTCCTCCCATCTGTCACCCAGCATTAAAAACGACAATTCTTCAATCAGCATGATGAACATAAGCATTTGACCATAAGTCATCAGGATTTCTAAAATAGGAAGTGACTTATAATGCGCAAATTATCTCTGACTCAGAAAAATGGCACATAGGGCGATAGGGCAGGTTTGGAGGACAGCAAGGGATCCCGTCGGGGATGGGCCTCTGCGGATGGGGGGGGCTTATAAAGCGTACGCATAATTTTATGTCAGGGTGTGTACATTATTTTTCTGAAATGGAGCCAATCAGTGCTTTCTTCAGAGTCTCAAAGAAATGGATGATTTTCTAAAAAGGCCAAGAACCTCAGCATAAGGAGGGCCGAGAAATAAGACTTGGGAGGAACTGATCTTGGCTTCCAGCGCTGCTAGTGTCACCCTCATACCACACAAAGGTGGAAGTTCATATCATCCAAAATTGAACTCCTAATATTCTATCCCTGTGCCCTTCTTCCCATGCTCAAAAAATGGCATATCTTCCCAGCCACCCTAGACTTTTTCCCCCTCCTCCCACATCCAAACTTCACGAAGTGTATCTCCAAAGTGTCTCTCACATTCACTCCTCGAGTCTATCCTGCCACTCTGGCGTGGGCTCTAGTCTCCTTCTGTCTTTTTGCCTCCACTCTCCCCTTTCCAGCCCACTCTCTCGCATGACTTTACTGCTCACATATGCTTGTAAACCAGAGACCTGGTGATGCGTCTCCTCTGATTAAAACTCCCTGATGGCTTTCCCAAAGCTGGCTGCATGCAACAGGAGGTGCAGGAAGAAAGTAGGAAACCTCTGAGTTCATTTGGCGAATATCTGATGCATGAATTACTACTGGCACTCTCCCTTTCTCAACATCAGAGGCCACTGTCACCTGAGCAGTCCTGAAGGAACTATGAGTTGCCCAGTTAAGACGGGGTAATAGTGACACCTGCATGCATTTGCTTCCTGCCTGTTGAGACAAATTACATTTGAATTATCCCACGTTAGGTGATTTTACGGCCAAAACTGATGGAGCCGTGCCACCCATAAACTTTCCTATCTGCACACCTAAGCTTGGAAACCACAATTTTTAGTCTGTTTAAAAATTATCCAAATGAAGAGTTTCAGGGGGTTTTGAACCCATTTATTAAAAATACCATCATAGCTCTACATCCTCCCAAATAATTGACATCAGGGACTGGAATTTACTGAGTTTCAACAAAAACCATTGCATAGTTGGTAGCTAGGGTGAAATGTAATTAATCATGAATAAGGAGGCACAATAATTTTTTTCTTTCTTTTCTGCTCTCTATTGCTTTTCTATCTTCTGTAGGCGTCCATTCCAGCTCTGGAGGTCATTCACATCAAGGATCACAACAAAGTGGACTTAGACTCAGACTTTGGAATAGCTTTATCACAAAATGATAGATCATGATTTAAAAAAAAAAAGAAGTATATTTATTGATTTCATTATTTCTTATTGAGAGCAAAAGGTGTTTTTACCATTAATAAAAAAATAATTATTTTAGAATATTGCCTCATCTTTACCTCAGTGTTTTGAAATCCCTACATTTTGTGATTCTTAATGTTTTATATAATATAATAGTAAAATAATACATATATTGTGAATGCACTCTAAAAAATGTTTTTAAAGATTTAAATCATCATTTGAGATGAGATCAAAAGCCCTTAAAATTGAATTTCCAACATGTTATGTAGGGCTGTTGACGATTTGAACCAATTTAAGGATTCATTTTTGTCTTCTGCCACTATTAT